ACCAGTTTATTTCTGAAGTTTGCAGAACTCTTGGGATAACTCATTTTTCCCCAAATTTTCCAAAAACTCAGTTCCCATTCTAAAACACAATGAGCATGCCCACCTCTTTTGTATTACATTAATTTGGCAAGTTAGGTTTTATTGTATTATTTTGTCACATATTATATGGTAAAATCTAATCAATGCAATTATGAGCAATGAATATCGTCAACTGAACCTCCTGAAAATCATATCCGAACAAGACCCAAGCTACATTGCACCCAAAATTAAAAAGGATTTCCTCCTTAAATCTAAAATGTAAACTGGAGGTTTACATAAGATCAGTGGTAATTAGCCACAATAGCTTTATGCTTTTTCTTCAGAAGCAAAGGCAGTTGGTGGAAAACTGAGTGAGGGCTACTGGGCTGATGTCATGTGCTAGGCTTCCCAGGACATCTGGTAGACCAGCAAGGAGAAGCAGACTGCTAGATGGGATAGCCCCATAAGCTGGACCAGGACAACTTCTTTTATTTTCCAGATCCACAAATAACTAAATTTCAACCTTATTTTAGAGATGCAATTAGTAGGCTTGGTGTAATGCTTTTATCTCAGTAACTTCCACTGTTTCATAACCAGCAGACGTAGGAAAGAGGATGTATGATTATATATTTGATTCCTGGAACACTAATGACCAAATACTAAACATTCCCATTAACCCTGTGCTGCCATCTAGTGTACTACAAAGGGATACTTGTGGCAAACCCAAATCCGAAACATCATTTTATGTATTACACTCCAATCTTTCTTTCAAATGCATGTTCTCAAACACAAGAATGGATCTTATACTAAAACTTTCATAAAGCAACAGGGAAGAGTCAGGCATTTTTCTTCCATTTCATCTCTCCAAATTCCTTAATGTCTCAACGGAGTAAACTATGAAGGGAGATGCTCAGCCCAGGCTGGCTTGAGATGAAGACTGCACATGCCTTTGACACAGATCAGTCCAATGAAGAAAGTGGATCTCCCTTGGATTCACCTTCAACAGTCACTCAGCAAGTGTTACTCACAAAGACTGCCACAAGTGGACTAAGAGGCCTGGATCCATGGAGCTAGTGAGATCTGCACTCAGGTGTACACTTGCTGTGCACTTTCAACATTCTTGTTTTACAAAACTGGCTGAAAGGATGGTCCTAATACTCCTGCTGCCATTCTTCTGTTTGAGCTGGCTCAAGCAAAAGATTTCAAAGGCAAAGGGTATACCCCTTTTCTTTATCTACAGCTTAGCACCCCACCCCACCCACTCCCAGTTAGAAGGATCCTGCTGAGTAGAAGCTACACAGTTGAGAGAATCTAAGTTTTCTGAGAACAATAATCTGTTCCCTTGAAGCCTCAGACTTAAGGGAAGCAACGTTTTCATCTGGCTGCCAAAGCTGAAAACCATATGAAAGCTGCTTGCAATTCACAGCTGTAAGTTCTTGACAACTGGCGGCGGCGGCGGCGGCGGGGGGGGGGTAATCTTTAGACTGTTCCCCCTTTTATTTTGCACCCAGGCCACTGGATGGGAAACTCCCAGTTTTTATTATCAGAGAGCTGTACTGTTTTTCTACAATTGTCATTAAATTAAAAAGATTTTACTTTGATATCAGATGAATCTGTATTAATACATATATATCATCTCAGTTCTTCTATACTAAAACTTACACTTCTGTAATGAAAACTTACACTTGCCTGGGACCTCTCTCTTTCTCCATCTCCATCTCCTTTTACAGATACTGGTACCATAATGAACATTCCTCTGCAGTGAGTAACTATTGCTCTTCCTACCTATATTACCTACGCCGTCCAGAGTCAACTGTGGTGAGATGGGCAGCTATATAAATTGATTTAATAAATAAATAAATAAATAAATAAATAAATGATATTTAATATAGCATGCATTTTCATAAAATGATCAACAGGAAGTGAGAATGGGAAGCAATCATTACAAGGAAGTGCCAGTGGCTGCGGCAGCAAAGCCTATTTTCCGCTCAGAATAGTTCTGTGCTGAAGAAATTATGCTACTGAACTGCATCAAATCTTTACCAATCTGGAATCAAGGGTAGGGCCAGTTGATGTGTTTTTAGTTGTTCCCTGGAAGCAAGTAAGCAATGGTAAGAATATGGAAAAGATACAGCAGCTTCTAATCTGTTTGTCCTTTATTTTGGTTTGGACTGAGCTTCAGGGGAGGGGGCTGTGCAGTGCTGGGAACCAGGCATTGCTTCAGCCCCAAGTTAGGCATATATAATCTTATGTATGGCCAAGCATTGTACAGAACTTTAACTATGGTGTGTTGAGAACATTCTCCAGTAAGTGGATGGGGCCAGGACAAAGGAATCAGCAGACACAATCAAAGCTAAATGTGATTTAGTTAAACTAATGAAATTAATTTAACATGATAAAGCCCCATGTATGTAATAATTCCACCCTTCTCTTATATTAAAAATAGTTAATTGGGTGTAAACTTTGGAAAGGGCTCCAGATGCCGCACCTCTGCTCTCCAAATTGAACTGCCAGCAGATAAATGTTCTCATTTTCCAAATGGCTTCATATGAACTTCCCTTAAAGCGCTTGAAAAATGGTTGCTGCTAGCTTCTTTAAGGATTTCTGTGCTTAACTGGGAGTCAATAGTTAGATTTTTAAAACACTGGAATAGCTGCACAAGAAGTAGAATTTTAGTTTATGTACCCTAAGAGTTTCCAGAAAAGGACTTTTCTGCATATATCCCTACATATTTGTGCATGGAAAAAACATAATTTGGGGAAGCACAGAATATGGCCCATGATAAGCCTCAAGTCCTCTAATTTAGTCTTATTTGTGCTGCTCAAATGATGGTTAATCATTAAATGCCTAGAGAATGCAGCTGCAGAGTAAGATAGCACTGCCATCTTGTGACTCATTAAGTACATAGCCAAGAGTTAAAACGCCATGTGTATTGCTGATTTTTTTCCATGTAAGATGTGCTGCACAATATCCCTCTGAGGCCCAATTCACACATCTTAAAGTAGATCTTGGTAGGTAAACATGGACATTACCATGAGAATACAGACATGCATGGCATACAGCTGTTTTTCCTTTTATGACATAGGAAGGGGAGAGGTGTAATGTCCACAGGCTTATTCTTCCTTACTCTTTTGCTCTTTATTGGTTCTCTATTGTGCATAGTATAGGTTTTATATCCACAGAGGATGAGCGTCCACATGCCTGGATTCAAAATATGACGGAGACAACAAACAGCACAAGAGCAAGCTGCAGAGTGATGCAAAAATGCATGCCCCTCAGATCTTGTAGCCTGAAATGGCAATATTACTGATGCTGTTCACAATCCGAGAAACTGTACGTATGTGCCTGCATTTACATCCAAAGAGAAAAAATCAGCCATCAAAAGGACTGAGTAATAAGATACAAAGACAGGAATGTATTACCACCCTAGGCCATGCCTTTGGTGAATGATTTATCCTCTGTAGCCCACATTCAGGTTATTCTTGTATTCAAAGGGGATAAGAGTGTCCAAGATAATATTTGAGAACCAAAAGCTGCAAGCACTTTGATTATAAATAGAGAGAGTTGGCTTTTTAATTTATGAAATGGACACCTCACTCCATGGCTCCTAAAGGAATCTTCAAGGCTGTGAACAAACAACCATAATCAAGGAGCAGTTGTCTGTGGGCGAGCAGCACATTTTGCCCTATCCAGGTCACTCTGCATGGGTTTGGGTCATACCCTCTCATGGCCAAGATCTCTTAGCATGTAACTTTCTTAAAAATGTGTTAGATTTATAAACCAAGATTTTGGCAAGAAAGGTGAGCAAGATGCCAGGGATCCCAGTCTGATTTATTTACCTTTAATGCTAAATAAACCAGAGAAAGAGATTTCTTTTTTTCATTTAGTTGCTAGTATTAGTAGAGATGCACCAGGTGGATGCAGTACAGGAGTATGTACTAACCCTTTCTGGATCTGAATTTATGATGTGGAAACCGAGCCTGCCTTCTGAACACAGAGCTCTCTTCAAAGAGAGCTTAAAAGGCATCCCTTAAATAGAGCCTTGTCCTATTTAAGGAATGCCTTTTAAAATGCAGACAGCATAGCTAATAATCTCTTTTATACAAGTGCACAAATAAAATACAGGTAGTCCCCAGTTTAAGAATGAGTTCCATTCCCAAGGTCTGTCCTTAAGTCAAATTTGTATGTGAGCCAGAACAGTATTATTGCATAATACTGTATAAATAGTATTGTGTAATTAACTCAAACTATTGTGTATTTAACTGGAATCACTATGTATTTAACTCAAATTTTGCTACAATAGGTTCTGTTCTTAACTATGGGTCATCTGTAAACTGGGCGTTTTTAACCCAGGGACTACATGTAATAACAATATCTGTGACTACTAATTGTGCTGGTTGTATGCTATTTCCAGACTTGGAGGCATTATGCTTCTAAATGCCTGTTGCTAAAAAAACTGCAGCAGTTAAAATCATGTCCTGCCCTTCCTGCTTGTAGGTTTCTCAAAGGCATTTAATTGGTCATACCTGGAAAAAAAGAACTGGATTCAATCAACCTTTGGTATGATCCAGCATATGTTTCTAATTATTGGGGTTATAGTCCTGTGAAAGTCATCTTCTGAAACTGGTGTTTGCTTTGAGTGAAATCTTCACTGTCTCCTGCTGGTACTATGTGGATCACCCAGCTGATGCTGTATGCATGGCTAAAAACGTGCAACTTAAATGCCAAGATGCTTTTAGGGTCAAATCTAGTTTGGCCCTGAGCAGAGATTATTTGCAGATTATCATGCATTTTAGTAAGTTTTCCACTGAATACAAAGCAAAGCAACAGGAGAAAGACTGCAAGAATATTCCAAGTCATACCCCAACTTTGCTTCTTCAGGTGTACCTCTTTTGGCTATGGATTGAGATAAAAAAGGCTTTGTTTTGTACTATAACTTATTTTACATTATTTTCTCCAAACTAGTACACCAGGACTCCTACCGATAGTTGTTACTGCAGAAACAGAGAAAAAGAAGGAGCCGGCAAAGTCCCATCTGCCCAGACTTGTATTTCCTTTAAGATAAAGTCCACTCTTGTAGGCTTGGATGATATTCTGTGAAAAAGATTAAAAAAAGAGAAGTAATGGATGAGGATTTCTGTCCACAAGGTGGTCCAAAGCTGCAATTCTATTCACACTTTCCTGGAATAAGTTCAACTGAACAAAGACTCACTTCTGCATCAAGATATGTAAGTTTCCTTTGTAAATTAGTTAATATTCTCTGTTTAGCTGGCTTGACAGGAATTTAATATGTTCCCCCACCACCACCATTCCCCTTTAAAGAATTAGCAGAATTCCTGCTATATAATTTTGTAACAATAAATATAAAAAATTATAACTCGAGTGACAAACTACCAACCAAACCTTAACAGAATGGTCTTTATTTTAAAGTAGTCCCTATTGCCCATCTCTCAGAGAAGTAGATCTTGAGGCAGTGTATAAAGAAAATAAAAGATGAAACAAAGAGAGAAAAGCTGAAACCATATCATAGTTAAAAAGCAATTACAATGTGAGGCAAGGGAAAAATCCCTAATTAAATGGCACCTAAAATACAATGTAAATCCCAGAAGCAGATTAAGAAATGAGGCTCTGTCACAGAATGGTCTTCTCTTTGGAAGGCCTTCAGAAAGGGATATCTTCTATGATCTTAATTAATGCATAGGCTGGTAGAAGCCAGATATTTCTTTCCAAAGAAATGCAGCCCTCATGCCATTTATGTTTTCAATGGTTCATTTATGTTCTCTGTAAAAACATGTTTGTTAAAGAAAGGTTATTTTCAAAGATGTATTGGGACAATTTCTAGAAATAAGACTTTTTTTTTTCTTGATTCACTTACCCTTTAGCAACACAGAAAGGCAAAGAGCCAGAACCCTCACCCAAATCTAACTCCAAGAGTTGTTGCGGGGATAAAAAATGGGGTTAAAGTAAGAAAGCAGTATATCAGACTCTGAGTTCCATAGAAATATAAATATAATAAATAAACAGATAAACAGTTCTATCAAAGCCACCTAGAGCTACTTTTGCCATTAAAACTGGGCTCCCTGTTCACTGGGATAGAGCTGGCATAATGCAAACATGTTTACTAGTCTTTTGACTTTAGAGAAATGCGACTGCTAAGAAGGGAAAGCACAATCTGTAAGGCCAATTGTGATTTTGTTAGAACTTCCATCGGATCATAGTTATTGATATTGTGGATCATTCAAATGTCCCCAATTTCCTTTAGTGGCTTGTGGAATTTCAGTCCTTTCTGTCTAAAGTCATACAGGATGGCCACCAAGAACCCTGCTCTTTTCCCATAAACATTAGATTCTGGCTATATGAATGGTAGGAAAGAATTTCCATTGTTTTACAGTAATACTGACAATATTTAGCAACAACTACTTCTGATCTGATTCTGTATCAAGGCACAGTGGATAATGGATCAGGCTAACAGAGAGACTAAACTGAGAAAAACTGGAGTTACAAAACCTCCTGATATCCTTGAAAGAGAAGATACACTTGGGATCCATTGAAGTAGTGAGTTCTCCTTTGATAGAGATCATCAAACAGTGGCAGGATGGTCATCTGTCAGAGATGCTGCAGTAGATCATGTACCAAGCAGGGGGTGGTCTCTAAACTACCTTCCAATTCTATGATTTTATGATCTATGGGGTGCAATTTATACATTGGATTAAGTATGAGTTTGTCTTGTTTTATGCTATCTTACTTTTTGATGAGATGGGCTGATTGTCATTGTGGCTAGAGCATTTCCCATGAGTTTGTTTACTGCATAGACTTCTTGGATAATAAGATTTTGACCCTTTAGAGCAACGAATAGCAACCTAGTGCCTCCATGTTTTCAATTCATAATTTCTCCTGTCATCCCCAACCTGATGCCATGCTGGCAAGGGATTCTAGAAACTGAAGGTCGAACAAGGTAAGGAACATGACCTTCTATTTGGACAGCATCTCCATCTTATCCAAACTGAAAGGTTTATTCATCTGTATCTAATGTTTTAGACTCCACTTTGGCACATCTATTGACTTACTTATAAAGCTGAAAAGGTGGGATTCATTCGTATATTAATGACATATCACTGAAAAAAGTAGTGAAGCCTTTGGCATAATCGTGACAGCTTTTCCCCAATCCTAGGGTAACCGAAGATGCTTGCACAAAGCACACATTACACATTGTATTATAACACAATGACATTAATAAATAAAATTATTGCTGTTTTATACACAGCAATTATCTAACGATTGTGAAGGAACAGTGATTTATCACCACCCTTCAAATCTTTGCATAAACATACATGAAGATGTCTAAAGCAGCCAGGCACATGGAAACACTGGAATGAAGACTCGCATGTATACTTACATATCATTTCTCCAGTTAGCCTTGCACATGCTGCAAGTGAATGCTTGCATCCTTTCTCAGTGTCTTTAATGATAGCTATGAATGACATGTGCTTTGGAAAAACTGCCCACTTGATATAGTAAAGTCACAAAACCTCCTTCAAATTAGAGCTGTTTCATTCCTTATCTGTATGTGATCATCTTTTGCCATGTTAGTATTTTATCCTTCTTCTTATATGCCCAAACATATGGAGGTTAAAGTGAGCATGTTAAAGTGAGCATGTTCCCTGTTAACACTTCTGCCACAAATCTTAAACCTTGCCAAGAATAATAAGATGTAGAATGGAATTTTAGTTACATTTCAACCAAATATGAGAAGTTTTAGAGGGCAGAACCTGTACACATAGGACATAGGGAGCCTGGTCAGCATCTTCAGTCTAACCATCATCCTTTTTCATTCACATGAACACGAAGCCAAACATAAAGCCAAAGATGGCTTATCTAAGGATGCAGTCCCCAACATACTTGGACCCATTGGATTAGGCAACTTTTTTTTCTGAGATTACAATGCATGCTGTAAAGCACATTTGAATCAAAGCTTTTTTTTTTAAAGAAAATTTTAAAGTTGAGAATGGGGTGAGTCAGGAATGCTATTGTTTTGAAGGTAAGTGGCCTTTTCCCTTTCTAAGTGCATTTTTGATTTCTTAGTCCTATTAAAATAGAGAATAACAATATTCAAGGTGAATATTAACCTTAAGTTTATGTTTAGGTGCATAGGAAAAAGGCCATACATTTTAATTGCTTCTTATCACAGAGCTTGTACCTCAAGATCTCTTCTGTACTGATAACAAACTTGAGAAATCCAACAAACAAGGGTACATGAAAACATCCTTGGGCTCCCAATAAAATGTTTAGTGTCAAAGCCATACAACAACATTGAGAAAGTTTCCCATTGTTTCTGATTGAACCCATTAATTAGATCCACATTAACATGATATAAACTATTCTTGCAGTTGAGAATTCAGTGCCTGTATATGTCTAAGAAAAGTACACACATACAGGTCTTCCTCAGACCTACTCACAGGTAACCATCAGACCTGCAGCAAAATGTCTGGGTGATTAAAATTGCAATTTAGTGCATATTTATGGGAGAGAGGGGACAGGATGCTAAGCCTGTCGTATTTCATAAACTTTAGCTCTAGGCTGACATGCATAATAAATAGTAAACCTGGATTCCAGGAAATCCTCTCTTATGAATGTGTGATCTCTTTGTTTCCATTTGTCTCATCCCATTAAACAAGAACAACAAACCATTTAAGTAGTATGTTGTTTAAACTGGAAATTATAAAACTAAGCTTAGGAACCTGGATTATAAAAAAGCTGGGTTTATTGGTTAGGACAGCATATTGAACATTTCAGATTTGTTAACTTGCTCATGCTGCACAAAGGAACTAAATATGCTCATGAATCAGCACACTGTCCCTTCACACTAGGCAGGATTTTGCAGAGCCCCCAGCTGACATTTTTGCATAAATGTGGCCCACATGGAAGCAGTCTTCCCCATTTCCTTTTCACAAATAATATATTTTTTTATTCATTTTATTCATTGAAATGTATTGACTACCCAACTCTAGTGGACTCAAATATGTGGGTTTGTGATCTCTTTTGTATGGCATTAATCTTTAGCAATACTATGTCACAATGTAGCTGGGATGAATGCACCAGCAATATTATACCTCTCTTTTTGGGGAGATTTCAGTTTGTAGCACATCAGGAAGACTTCTAAGTGATTTTATTCACTTTCCCTTCTTTCATTATTTCATTCAGTTAGGCAGCCAATTCCTCCACTCTTCAAGAATTTTAATATGGTGGTAGCAGTAGATATAAGGACAGCCACCAGCTGGGCTATAAAGGCTTCTGCTTTTTAAGTATTTAAAGGCAAAAGGATGCTATACAAATGCAGTTTTCTACATCACAATGCAGCTGACCTCTCCTACCTACTATTTAGTGAGAGATTGCTTTCAAAAGCAGGAATACCATATGATTCCCAATTACCAAGCCAAAGGCAACTGGAGACATTTTTTATAGAGCTGATCCAGTCTATAAAAAGTAAAGTTCCATATAGTTTATTAACCTTTATCCTGGAAAAACCTACATATAATGGCATGGTCCACATGGCATGATACACCACTATTTATTGATGGATTCTTGAATAAATCAGCATTTGCTGGATTCACACAATGCCATGCCACAATCCATGATTTAGAAACCACAAAGGCTGCATCTATATAAGCCCAAAATTTAACAAACTATCCCATGGCTTAGCATAATATGTAAGTCCAGCCATTTCAAATACTTCAGTATTAGACATTTTGTGCAGAGAATGTACCAAACATGCCGAGTAAAGACATAGTCCAAGTAAAGACATAGTCATTGCTATTCTTCGAGATCGGCAGAGCACGATTCACTAGCCAAAGGATATTAATGTGTTTCATAACTTGAAGCTCCACAGCTAGTTGTGCTGTCTTGCTAACATGTGAATTGATGTCATGTTCATTATTACGTTACAATATTACAGCACTACTTATGTAAAATCTCAAGATTTAGTGTAAATGACAACACAGTTCACATGTCATCCTAAGCCACAGTTTAATCACAATTTACTGCATAAGCAATTACTGGCTCACTTTATGTACCACATGAAGCCATGAGCCATGGTTTGTAAAAAAAAACCTTCATAGCTTAGCAGGATGCATAAATCCAGTCAATAATCTTTATTTATTTTTTACAAATCCTACATTTTGAAGATTCTACATTTTATACATGCTGTCTCTAATCTCACAAAAGCAGTAATCCAACATTTTGTGAACTCTGACATTTTAAATGATAATTTTACATCTTTAACATCCATGCAAGACTTCTCAAATATGGCCTTCTGTAGTAACCAGAATATTACTTATAAATTTTTTTAAGCCAGTGCATGCACACACTTTCAGGCTGAATATCATGCTGTTGACTTCAAATAAAGATATTTAAGCCTATTTAACAAACTGCATTCGGGATACAAAACTACCAATTAAGAGAAATATTGAGTTTGAAGGAGATATTTAGGACATCAGGCTCAACTCCTGCTCAGCACAGGAATCCAAATTAAAACATCTCAGATAAATAGCTGACTAGCCTACCCTTGAACAAAATCAATGAGAGCCTGCTACTTCTTTGGATAAATGATTCACTGTCAAACAACTCTTATTTTTAGAGGTTTTTTTCCTTAACATTCAATCAGAATCTGCCTTCCAGCAACTTAGATCCATTATTCTGTATCCTGCACTCTGGGATGATGGCACCTTCTTCTGTGTGACCTTTTTTCACGTATTTGAAGAGTATCATCATATTCCTCCCTAGCTAACTTTTCTTAAGGCTAAACATATTCAGTTCCTCCATTCTCTCCTCATAGGCTTAGTTTTTAGCCCTTGAATATTCTTTGTGTCCTTCTCTGAACATGTTCAATTTCTTCTGCTCTGAACTGTGTATGGTACGAGAAGATATTTGAACGAACTCTCCTAATTTGCAAATTACATTTCTGTTGATTGAGCCTAAAACTGCACTTGCTTTTTGCAACCATTTCCTACTGCTTGCTCTTATTTAGTTTGCAAACAACTATTCTGCCAAAATCTTTTAAATAGCTAACATAACCAAGTCAGGTTTCTGCCACCCTATACTATGCATTTGATTTTTGTTTCCTAAGTGAAGAACATTGCATTTGTTTCTATTAAATTTCATTCTGATAATTTTAGCCCATTTCTCTATCCTACTGAGATTGTTTTATATTCAATTTCTGATTTCTAGGAAATTAGCTATCCTACCCAAGTTACGCATAATTATGCATAAAGATAATAATGTAATACTACTGTAATTATGGGTCAGGGTGTCCAATGCTTTGCTGAAGTCAAATGATATTCATCCACAAAAGTACAGATATAATATGCCCATAACCACTTTTGTTATTTTCATAAGGCAAATTGTATCTAAAATCCCATTTATACTGCAAATGCTATATTTTTGTATCTACGCTGTAAAGCAAATGGAACACATTGGAGGGTGCATCAATAATAATAGAGCAATAGCTCAAGAGGGCAAAGCATGACTTAACATATCTGTATCCTACTTCATTTTAGGTACTTAGCATACAAATCTCTGAAAAGGAGGTGTTCACCCCAAATATCTAACCATCTATATCATCCACCAATAGCTCTCAGTGAATATTTTAAGATTTTCAAACGATATTTCACAGTGAGACACATTCAATATGAGAACAATGTCTTCAATTTAGTGTGACAATAAGGATATTTTTAAAGTTATCTGCTTGCTACTCTAAAGTTTTCATATAGCACATCA